TTCATAAGAGTCTGTAACAACTTTAGGCGGTATGTAAATAACAAACATATATACATTGCGTTTATTTACCTTAAATTTAATAGAGACAATGTCAATAAAGTAAATATCGTCAAAAATATTACGATCGAATTTGTAATTGAACTCGGATGCGTTAAATTTCTTATTAATTGCCAGTAAGACACCACCCCCTTTACTAGTACCAGTAGAGATAAAATTTCGATCTGTGCGGAAAACATCATAATGATTGTTATCAAACAACTCATCGTTATAAAAACTATCATTCAGCCAAGTCTCGGTAAAAGCAACAACATCGTAAAGTGCAACTGAACTGTTAACAAATAAGTCATTTATCTTAGTGCGAACGCCTCGAATATTTTGGTAATAAAATGTAAAACTAGGCGAACAGGAAGAATTGGGCTTGATCTTAAAATTATTCACAGTAGAATTATTTGATTGCTATTGTGGAGAAATAATGTTATCTCTAAATTTTTTAAGAGTTGAGATATAAACATGGCATGTTTTGTCCCAGACAGCATGGTCGGCACCAACAGGGTCTTTACTGTTCTTATTATAATTGATACAATTTATACAAGAATAATTATTAGGCCGTGGACACTCATCCAGCTTATGATTTTTAGCACATAAAGGACAAATATTAACAGAAGATGTACATTGTTTTGCCAAATGGTGATATCCACAACATTTATAACATCTCCGCAACTCAGTTGCATCAAAAACATTGCAATAATCATAGCCAACAAATAACTTACCATTATTCAATAATTTATGATATGTACTCACGTCTGTCTGAATCACGGCATGATATACCCTTCCGTTTTTTTTGGATTGTATACAAGATATTACATTAAGAATACTATTTTCATGTACGATATTAGAATTTTGGGTTCTTATATAACTAATAAGGGTAGTCTCGTCCAGCTTCTCAGATAAACCTACTATCTTAAGTCTGGGATTTAATACTGGAACTTCTTTAATTGTGTAATTGTCACTTAATTTACCATCAACAAGTTGTTTGAATTTATTATAATCTTCAGTACTTCCACAACTGACGTATAAACCACCATCTCGAATTCCCTTAACTTTTGTAATATTGACGTTAGATTCAACAGGGTGTACGTTTTTTATCATATCAAGCTTCGTTGTTGCATGATCTTGTTTGATTTTAGGTTTAACAACGAGTGCAGGATGCCTTTTAGTTATATTAGCGTAACTTGCTTTTGAATTCCCTTGTACAGCAATTTGATCAATTTTCGGTTTAAGTTCATCTATTTTTGGAACAATAAACTCACTTAAATTATTTTGCACAGCAGTTTGAATTTCGTTCATAAATTGGGTCAAAACTTCAGACTTGAATTTGTTAAAAAGATTAGAGAACTCTGACAGCTTTTCTTTTAGTTTAATATCAACAGAAGAACACAGTTTAGTAAAGCCCTCATTGATACGTTGGAGATTAGCAGTATACTCCTTCGCAGTATTATTTTCCAATATGGAACACTTCTTTTTGCAGGAATCACAGAGGAAAAATAAGTTAGTGCTCTTGCTTAACATTGTGAATTCTACACTATTAAGTCCAATACATGAAAAGTGAAACCATCTCTTACATGTTCCTTCACATCCAACAACACCTTCATTCTTGTCAATTTTACATCTAGAGCAGCCCGACATGGCTAGAAAGTAAGACGCCGCCTCTGGCGGCGACCTAGTGATGATGATACCAGATCAAACACGAATGGAAAATCACTCAAAATTGAAAATCGCCACTACCTTATCTCAGATAAGGGTGTATCGAAGAGTGTGTACACAAAATCATCAACAGGGATGAATCTCAGTTTTGCACTTCGTTCATATACACAATTTAAATTGTATTAAAAAACCACTAAAGCACTACAAAATATAGACAAACGAGTAGAGGCTGATGCGTACGTGAATCGATGTCGAATCGAATTCCAAAATTATAAAATATATTTATTACCTACATTATTACTTTTCAAAGATAAATATTATTTTTAAATGTAGTTAAGACTTAAAGCTCGACAAAATGTATGTTTTTACTGTAAATAACATTATTTTTAATAGATGTAAATAATAATAATTGTAAAAAGTTATGCTCAAAACGTTCTAACAAAATATCGTCTTCTGTTAGGGAACAGTTAAATTCATAATTAAAACGTTGCTAAGTTATAATAAGTTTAATCTCGGTAAGTATTATATTATTTATTATACATACCTATAAGTATACCATGCACCACATTTGGAAATAATACTACAACAGCGCCATATGATGGATGGTTTTGTCCCTATACAATTTCTATCTTATACTAATCCATTTACTCATCTATAAATTATATGTTTTATGGAGTGCACTCAGCAGTCTCAGCACATAAGGGTTTTTTCGCGAGTGAAGTCGTATGTAGTAGTGTACGAGTGAATGAAGAGATTTGAACTAACATACGGAAACTAACCAATATTCAGTCGCGAAAAACAGCCTAGTGATTTGATAGTATACTATGGATGGAGCCAAAGCCAAAGCCGACTTTCTGTGCCTTGTAGCGCTTCCAACAAGAACATCACAGAAGTTCTATGATGAACATCGAAAGCAGCAGCTATTTGCCATAAGCGTGACTTATGATACAAATCTCGCGACATGAATTCTAAAAGACATTATTTATTTCTGATTATGAAATGGACTCTTTTTAGTAGTAACACAATTTAAAAAATTACTGTCAAATCTATACTTATGTAAAATACGCAATAACACGCAGGCTGTGTTCAGCGAATAATCGGATTAGTTCGGTCAAACTTCTTTTGTCAAACAATTCGCTGAGCGGGTTTGTATGAACCCACTAAACACGAAACGTAAATGAATCGTTGCAAATGAGATGTTTTACTAAACATTTGACACATTAACTAGAAACATTTCTGTTTCATTACAGAAATGTAGCACTTGAAATCTTATTTAGTGAAACATAGCCGAAACGTTACAATTGAAGAGAATTTGAAACATTACTCGAAACATTCCCTTTCGATCTCGGGAACATAACAAACGAACAACCCTTTGCTATTTTTGCTTATCTTATGGAACATTCGGCATTAGTNTAAAAAAAGTGCTGGTCATAACGTTCCATGTCTATGCCAGATTGACATGTTTTCCTGAAAATCACGGGAAAACTTACCACTGTTGAATTTTCCTAATAGTCAAACCTTGGGAGACTCGTCAAACTTAAGCTGCACGCAAAGTTACAGCTTGCTGGTAATCATTTTTTTCTTTGTACGTGGGCCCGTGGACTATTATATTATCGGCTGCGGTAGAGCTAATGACGGCGACACAGTGAGCACAACCACGATGTCATATCTACTGACGGATATCTGAAAAGTAAAGTATAGTTAGCTACGACCTGCGTTTCAACTCATAGGGAGGATAGGAGAGACGACAATTATGACCTGAACGCCTAGCGAGTTATGGTTAGTTACGACCTACGTTTCAACTCATAGGGTGGGGAGGAAAGGCGACAATCTATGATCTGAACGTATAGTGAGGTCAAGCACATCGCACATTACGACAGTGCTGAAAAGTAAAGGCGTTTCAACTCATAGAGAGGATAGGGAAGGCAACAGCCTACGATCTTGTTGTAGCCGTGGATGCCGAGAGCATAATAGTACTCGAAATGCGTCAAGTTTCGCTTAAATATGCCGATGTATATTTATACCTGCGAAAAACCACCCTATTGGCCAGGGATGCGCGTCATGCGCCATGACTCACCGAAGAACCCTTATGACGTAAATTGTTTATTTGATGCGTAGAATAATAGGTTTGAATAGGACAAACAGGATATAAATATCGATCTGTTTCGATCAAATTCAGTTCGAGTTCAGACCTTTTACTCATTCAGTTGAAATCTTCTTTCATCGAGTGAGAATCTTGTATTCATGCAGTAAAGTACCTTTACCTAAAACCTTTTACTCATTTTCTCTGCTAGGCATGTTTGCTGTGGTAAAGCTGTAGGGCGGAACTAAGTCTATGATCTAATTACCTCGCCATGTCTTCTGTCAACTCGGGAGATTTGCGCATTAGGTATGCACGGAACTTTCTTACTTCGGAGGCTAGACGGTTACTGAACAGGATAGCTCGCATTGCTGGTAAGAACTGAAACTGCGGTTCAAATTGCTATACCAGTAGTTGACAGTTCCAAACGGCGACCTCTTTGCTGCTGGACTGGTGACGGACTGGACTGCTTGCTGCGACAGGCGGCGGTAAACTGAATATCTAATTAAGTTTAACTTCCAAACTTATATAACAGACGGTGGCGGCTATGCACTTTTTACGGCTATTTCTCAGTCCTTCAGACATATGTTTTCGCTATTTTGACGGTGGTAAGGAGAAGGTAAGGCATTGTGTAGGGGAGATAATTTTTATCTGTTAGCTCTCGAGAACAAGGTACATCCTTGTTCACGAGTGTGAAGATGCCCTGGAGTTACTGGCCAGGTGAAAAGAGGTAAAATTGGTTTGGGTTTAGGGTAATATGGTATCTTTGTAACGAGAAGTCGAATCATTTGGCTCGTCTTGGATCCAAGGGGCCTGGATCTGAACCAGATAGCATTAACTGGGCTCTTAATAAATGGTCCTATCATACATTAGGTCAATACTGGAGGATGTATACAAGGCCCATAGCTTTATACATGTGCCTAATAAATCTAAGGCGAGATGGCTACTGAGCCTTGGTCGGAGGGTACTAAATCAAATGGTGGAGGCCCTGACAGGCCATTGCAGATCTAGGGGGAATTTAAGTTTAATGGAATGGGATACCCTATCTATTTTTTAGGATATTGCGCAGTTTTTGGGAGGTTGCGGCATAAAGATTTTGGTACCGATGAGTTGCCAGGCGATTAGGGGTGAGGGACCTGCTATGGATCAAAATTTTGGCATTCATCAGAGCATCAGGAATGTCCGAGGAGGGTTAGAGGCAGACAGGGGATAGGTAATGGGACGGCGGGGCAGGCAAAAAGGTCTACTACCACCACTACCACCACTACCACCACTACACCACTACCGCCACTACCCCCACTACCACCACTACCACCACTACCACCACTACCACCACTACCACCACTACCACCACTACCACCACTACCACTACCACTACCACTACCACTACCACTACCAGGTCAAAAACTGGAAACTTCTTGACGAGGAGACCGCAAGCCTCCATAACTATATATCATTCGCAATCGAGGTTCAACACAAAACGGGAACTCAAAAACAAGCCCTGACACCGGGAAAACTCGACCAAGAAATACTAAGACAAAGGTTAGCAACAGTGGGTAACGATAACGAAACCAAATATGCTCCTGAAGAATGCACCCTTCTTCTGCAAAATGCCTGCACAGATGCAACACCCCGTGTTAGAGCAGATATACATATACGGTAAAGCCCCATACTGGTGGACTCTTGAGATACAGGAACTCAGAAAAGCCTCACTCACAGAAAGAAGGAAATACACCAGACAACTCAGCAAAGAAAAACAGGAGGCTGAAATATCCAAAGAGGCCTATAAAAGAGCAAAAAAGCAGCTCAGAAACAAGATACAAAAAGAAAAGAGAAGATGCTGGCAGGAACTGTTAAAAAACATAGACAATGATCCATGGGGAGATGCGTACCAGAAAGTGATAAAAATGATGAGAGTCCCAATCTTTAGGGTGGACTTAACGGAAGAAAAAAAGCTGGAGGTGGCTAAATCTTTACCCCAGACACCCGCTGAGAAGCCTAAACCTTGATGGAGATGAGCTGGGTCAAGAAATAACCAAGGAAGAAGTCGAAACGGCAGCAAGAAAACTGAAAAGCGGAAAGGCACCGGGTCCAGATCAGGTACCAGCGGAGGCAGTTAAAATTCTGTCCGAAATGAAGCCATTATACTTAAGGGAGATGCTCAATAAACTTCTAAGGGAGGGGTCTTTCCCAAAACTATGGAAAATGACCGAACTTGTCCTTATTCCAAAACCTGCAAAAACAGAAATTCAAGCAGGCAGCTTCAGACCTATATGCCTCATAGACACCTTGGGAAATTATACGAACGTATACTAGTCGAAAGATTGACAACAGAGATTGAGAGGAATGGAGACTTCAGCGAACACCAACATGGTTTTAGAAAAAAGAAAACAACATGCGGTGCGATCGAGGAGGTTCTGGAAGTAGCCAAACAGGCAATTGCGGAAGGAATGCCATGTGCCTTGGTTCTGTTGGACGTAAGAAATGCCTTTAATTCGGCATCATGGAGACTAATTATCCAGGGACTGCAGAGAAGGGGCATATCGTTACAGATAACGAGACTTGTCATGAACTACCTAAAGGATAGGTGCATCAAAATTCGCAAAGACCTAAAGATGGAAATTAGCGCAGGAGTACCACAGGGATCGGTCCTAGGGCCTACCCTTTGGTACGTGCTGTATGACGGAGTCTTAAGGGAACAAGTAGCCCGGCAGGCAAGGTTGGTGGCTTTCGCGGATGATCTGGCGATAGTGGCGACTAGTGAGACCTACATGGAACTAGAAGACTGTGTAAATGAGACCCTCCATATTGTTGAAAACTGGATGGTAAAAAAACTCCCTGAAGCTGGCTCCGGAAAAAACAGAAGCCATCCTGCTAAGCGGCAACAGAAGACCAAAACCCATGTCCTTTGAAATATGTGGTACAGAAATTCGCACCATAAAATACGTTAAATACCTAGGCGTAACGATAGACCAAAGGATGAACTTCACGGAACACATAAAGACAGTAACAAGGAAAGCCGACAACTTGATAGCCGCCTTAACAAGACTAATGCCTAACATCGGAGGACCCAGAACCGAACAAAGGAAAGTTTTAGGTGCGGTAGTACACTCCATCCTGTTGTATGGAGCTCCAGTGTGGCATGAAGGTATAAGAAACAAGAATAATCAGAAGTTGCTAACAAGAACCCAGAGAAAGGTAGCTCTTAGAATAATTAGCGCCTATCGAACAGTTTCAGCTGAAGCAGTCCTAGTAATTGCGGGGCTGACACCAATAAACTTCCTAATTCAGGAACGAGATTATATCTACAGGGCAGAGAACAAAAAGGCAGCCAAACAAGATGCAAGGAGAAGGACCATAGAAAGGTGGCAGGAAGAATGGATGAACTCAGACAAGGCAGCATGGATACGCAAACTAATCAAGGAAGTAGGACCATGGGTCGATAGGAAATACGGAAGCACTGACTACTATCTGACACAATTTCTTACTGAGCATGACAGATTCGCTGTATACGCCAAGAGGATGGGAAAGGTGGATAGGGACACTTGCTTCTATTGTGGAGCAGAAGATACAGTAGAACACACAGTGTTTAACTGCCAACAGTGGGTGGAAAAAAGAATAGGGGTAGCAAATTTACAGGTAAACCCGGACAATATAATGGAAAAAATGCTTTTAAGCAAAACAAACTGGGACAAAATCAAAGAAACCAAGGAGCATGAAGAATACGAAAGAAAAGGAAACCGAACTCCTAATCCCTAGAAATAGGGGAGGGGAGATGTAGGGTAGAATAATGATGAGACAAGGGAGCAAGAAGAAAAGACAGCCCGCCACATATGACGAAATGTTTCTAGAAACGGTTCCATGGTGGAAGAGGGCGGTTCATGGGGACCACTTTGCCTTTGGCTTACGCCCCCTAGAAAAAAAAACTACCACTACCACTACCACTACCACTAACAGTACTCCTGCTACTCCTACTCCTCCTACTCCTACTCCTCCTACTCCTACTCCTCCTTCCTCCTACTCCTACTCCTACTCCTACTCCTACTGCTACCCCTACCGCTACCCCTACCGCTACCCCTACCGCTACCGCTACCGCTACCCCTACCACTACCACTACCACTACCACTACCACCACTACCACTACCACTACCACTACCACTACCACTACCATCTTTCCAGAAAGTTCTAGAAGGATGATGCAATATTGCGAAATATGCCGTCATAATTGCTAACTGCGTAATATTTTTGGGAAAATCACCCTTAATGACCTAAAATTTGTATATAAAAGGGATGATTTTTAGGGAAATTAGTTTTTCATCAGCATTCAACGCGTTAGTTCAAACATCCGACATACGGGATATAAAGTGTTTAACAACTTTGTCAGTAATCGCTTAACCCCATTATTGCAATTACCAGCAGTAATTAGCAGTAAAGTCTAGTCTTTCGGTATTCGGGAGAAACCGGGAACGGGCCAAAAACCAAAGTTTAGTTGTGCGGTATTCGGGAGACGGAACAAAACAAAGTTAGTTTTTCGGTATTCGGGAGAAACCGGGAAAAGTTAGTTATACTAAAAATTGGTTAGTAGAAACCCGCAATTTTTAAGTAGTTAATTTTATTCAGCTTTAGTAAAGTTTATTGCATATACCTAGTACTCTTTTTTCCAAAATCTGTTTTTTGTGTATTTGATATTTTATGGATTTTCGTGTGTAGAAAAGTCCAGTATTTACTATTCTAGTTTGTTCAGTTAATAATTTTAACCATTAATCTTGTTAATATCATTATTTTTTCTACTATAGAAAAATAACTTGCACAGGGTGGGCAAATAAGTGAGGTAAGCGGCTGTATCTCAGAAACTAATGATCGTAGAGAGCTACGGTAAAAAATGTTATAGGTAAAGTGGGCAAGGGAAAATGCTGGAAATTATTTTCAAGTTTCCAAGATGGCCGCCAGTGGGCGTTTCCACCATATTGAATTACATAAAGTTACGTTTCTCGCGATTTTCCCCAATGAATGTAACAAAAAAGTATTTGCGTTTTAATGTTAACTTAAAGTCGAATATTTTTTGTAAAAACAATTTTTCTCTATCTTTCGAAATAAAGTGGTGGGGGGTATTTGAATGTTGTTTTAAATAAATGCCTGTAACTTCGAAACGGCTTAATGGATTTGGATAAATTTGGTATCATTGAAAAGAGCATTTCTTGGGCTTTTAGGTTTCTCGTAATCATGACAGTTGCGACCTACACGGCCGCCGATAGAGGGCGTTATTCGATATTATAACCAAAATATTGGATTTTCTCAAAAAATTTAAATGCGATGATATGACTTTTTTTAGACTAGAAAATAGACAAATGACCAACCAATAAGCCTGCGCAAACCGCATCTTAATATCTTTTTCCTAACTCAAATTATTTAAAAAAATACTAAACCAGGAAAATTCATATATCCCCATTTAAAAATGCATCGGTTGCTTTCGATAAGAAGGCAAGTAGTAGGCCATGGACACGACAATCGCCTAACAAAAATATTGCCAAGTAACGTCAAACTTTTGTCACACGCAGCCTAATATTGTTGATTGCGTATAATTTGAGTACTTTTTAATCAAAATGCCTCTCACAAATAATGAAGCCGTTGACATGATTGCGATTTATTTCGAGTGTTTTCAAAATGCAGCTATAGCTGCAAGACAGTACGCGGCACGGTATCCAGATCGCCGTCATTACGGGAGAAGAATGTTTCCGCGCTTGGTACAGCGATTACGCGATACTGGAAGTTTTCGTCGTCCTAAACGTCGCAGGCGTCGCAATGGAAGGACCGAAGAAAACATTATCAATGTCTTGGCTTACATAGAATTTGATAGACATGTAGGAACTAGAACATTGTCTCTAGACTTGGGAATAGCACGAACAACTGTTAGAAATATTTTGAAAGATTATAGGTAAATAATTTTATCTTATTCCAAGTATCTTAGCACATACTCTCAAATACACAATTCAGTGTTATTCTGATTATATTATTTTTACGCATATGTTGTTTTTTACTTTTAGATTACATCCTTACCACATAGTTTTGCACCAGGCGCTAAATGAACAAGATTTCGATAATAGATTAAATTATTGTCAATGGATGCTAGGCATGCTTGAGGAAAACAGAAATTTCTTAACGGAAATTCTCTGGACCGACGAGGCTACCTTTAGTAGTGATGGTAGAGTAAACCGTCATAATATGCATTATTGGTCCGCTGAAAATCCGCATTGGTTAAGAGAAGTGCAGCACCAGGGACGCTGGAGCCTAAATGTGTGGTGCGGTATCATTGGGGACAGAATTATTGGACCTTATTTTTTTGATCAAGCTTTAACTGGTAACCGCTTCTTAGAGTTTTTGATCAACGACTTGCCAATTTTGTTGGAAGATGTGCCACTCGAAACTAGGAGAACTATGTTTCTGCAATTAGATGGTTGTCCGGCACATTATTCAATTAATGTCCGAAACCATATTAACGGGACCTTTCGAGAACGCTGGATAGGAAGGGGAAGCCTATTTCCTTGGCCGGCAAGATCTCCGGACTTGACATGTCTTGATTTTTACTTGTGGGGACGCTTAAAAGACATTGTTTTTCAAACTCCACCAACAACACGAATGGATATGGAAAACAGAATTCGAAACTCAATTCGTCAACTATCAGCGGTAGAAATCGAGGCTGCGGTTCTGTCGACTCAAGAAAGACTGGAACAATGTGTGGAATATGACGGAAGGCAATTTGAACACAGAAGGCATTAATCTTTTTTCAAAATCGGTCCTTTTCAGGACCACAACTTTATTTAAAAGGAAAATCGCTTATAAATACGAAAACGTGCGACTTAAAATCACAGCACTAAATAAACTGACATTTCTTGTGAATATTTTAGAGAGGAGTTTGTCTTTTATTTCCATGGCCTACTACTTGCCTTCTTATCGAAAGCAACCGATGCATTTTTAAATGGGGATATATGAATTTTCCTGGTTTAGTATT